AATGATTCTATGCTAAGAAGCATCAAATCGGGTACAAGCCGCATCTACCGTCACAAATTGCTGATCTTCATTTTTGGTTTAAAATTATTTAAGATTTTATATAATATTATGTATATATTTTCACATAATAATAACACACAATTATCCAAGAGTATGATAATGCGAGTTTCCCATATATATACTCTTCGTTATCTATAATGTACGTCGATGGTTGCACCTCAATATAAATACTAACTTCTTCTCAACTCACTCATTTGTGAAAAAGGCAAAGAAAGGCAAAGCTGACAATCAGGTGGAGAGTATAAAATGTTTTAGCGTTAGTGGAAATTATATGACACGGAGTTCACGTAGAATCTCTATTGCAACTTGTATAATAGCAACTATTGTATTTCCCGTGTAATTAGCTTCAAGAAACGGTATTGACCTAGGGTTAGAAGTACCTATGGTATAGATCAATCCGTCGCACAGCCTGGTCGGGCGGCTAACATTAATGCCTGCATTTAGTACTTGCTCATTATAAGAAACTCATGCCCGCTTTTAGAACTCGCACGACTTTTAGCCCCTTCTGAAGCGGGATAACTTCTAGCTCGGGGATAGAAGTCGTTTATATGCTGAACGCGATAAAACTTCTAGCTCGGGATAAATCGGTTTTATACTCTGAAGCGGATAATTTAGCTCGGGGCATAAAATCGTTTTTATACTGCTGAAGCTGGAGACTAAACTTACTAGCTCGGGATAAGTCGTTTTATACTGCCGTTCCTCGACCACCCGACGTTAGCTGTGCGTGACCAGCGTAATTGTCATGGTAAACCTTCACGTCAACAACACTTGTTTATCAGTTCCACGCATTTTAAACCATTCTGTACCGGTTAGCTAGAATGCTATGCTTCTCGTACATATGATTCTCGCATCTGCGTTTATATTGGAATATCGTGTTTTGGGACATGAGTCTCTGACATTATGCTGATCTTTGTCGGTGCTAACACCTAACATTGGTTTTCGACATATGTCTGCCCAATTGCTGCTACCATGGATCCGGCAGTTCCGCGTTCGCGCGTCACCCTCACGGCCATTTAGAGCGGGCTAAAGTCGAGAGTAGTTGATTACTTGACGTTACTCGGCGTCTGAAGCGACCTAACCACCTCCGACGGCCCTAGGATACTTTAGCCTCGGCGCTCAAAGTTTTTCGACCTTTATCTGGGGAGTTTCTGGTCCGGACCTGACCCGAAGCGGCCATGGTATAGAAATCTGTGCATCACTTCGTGATACCTAAGGTGCCTAAAGTGGATTTGCGCCCTAGTAGTAGTAGTCTACAGTGCTACAGTACACAAGCCATTCGGCTAAAAGGCTAACTACATCATGGCTTTACCCAAGCCAGAGAGACATGATACAAGATTGCGTGGCACAGCTTTGCTGTGTGTCCTGTGGTCCTAGACCTGGACGTTTATTCCTTACGGACTGTCCAGAATAAGTGAATATAGAACTTAGAACTTAGAAGTAGAAGAAGAAGTACACAGTAGGGCATACAGTAGCTCTAGTACTATACTAGCCCGCTTACATTAACCACTGGCACTGGCAGCAAGATCAAGCCCGCACGTACAGCACACACGCGGCGCCATTGACTATATATATAAAACAATAGTGACACTATTGTTTTATATATATAGTCAATGGCGACGCGTGTGTGCTGTACGTGCGGGCTTGACCTTGCTGCCAGTGACATTAACTGCCGCTGGCCAGCGGCAGTTAATGTAAGCGGGCTATAGTACTAGAGCTAGGCATACAGTTGCCACAATCCAGTTTAGGATTTCCAACTACGTAGGACTACATAAATTGTACGCAAACGTACGCAATATGCCAATAACTATAACTTTTACCTGCTAACGCTTTCATCTTGTCGCGATACTAAATATGGCGCTCGTTCCTATAACTCTGCATAGCTCTAACTTCTAAGTTCAAATTCCAATTTCACTTTCACTCTTATCTTGAGTTCTGCCGGTTCCGATTTGTTTACTTGGAACCATGGAACTGTACAATCGGGAGTCACGTGGCGTTAGAGAGAGAGAGAGAGAGAGAACGTTAGCCAGCGAGGTTCCGGTTCCGCTGCTGGTTGCACGATGCAGACGCCCGAGACTGTTGTTGCGGTCCGAGATTATCTAGAGAAAAGGGAGATTAGTGCCGCCTCTAATTCTCTAAATATTAGTGAATAGTGTTTCGGATCACTTGAATTTTCCGCACATAAATCAACTATGAGTACTATCAGGAGTCTATTTTGATAGACTCCTGGTACTATGAGTATGATACTAACTCTTGTTTCAATAACGAATAACCCGTGGTTGTCCCCTCTCCAGCCGTCTATTTGTTCGCCATCCTTATTATATCTAATATAGCTATCACAAATATTGTTGTTGTAACTTGTACACACAGGCACTTGGAATGTTTCAACAGTAAAATGATGGTAAATAAACACGAAATGTATTTACTACTAAAGTTTCTCTACCCCCTTTCGCCTATTATCAGGGGCGGATCCAGGGCTGAAGCTGGACAGTATTTTTTCAGGCACATCCCCAAAAAAGGGCACACCACCCCAAAGTGGGCGCCGTTACGCGTGGAAGCACATGGCGGAAGGTCTGGGGGGCCTTTCCTAGGAAATTTCAAAATTTCAAGGGTCCCTGGGCACAAAAATGAGCACCATTTGAGCACACATTTTAGCAATAGCTAAAAACCATATGGAATTTTATTTCTGCTTCATTTTGCCTGCACTTTGCATACCAGCAATTAATGCAGAATGATTCAAGCACTTCCCTTCTTTTTCAGATATCAAATCTAGTTTTGTTACCATGTAAAATTTTGATTTTGTTCAAGTCCTGTCAATGAATCAGAAGAAAAAGAAAACAAATAAAGAATATAGCCAAATTCCATCAAATTGTTTTCTGTATATTTTTTAGCGCAAAATTTCGAAGGGCTCTTTGAAATCTAGACCGTATTTCCCAATACGGCAAATACGGTCTGAATCCGCCCCTGTATTATTGCCGATAACTTCCTGTAAATGTCGTTCATTCTTGTTGTTTGTGCACATGTAACTAATATGTTAGATACAACAATAATGTAACCCAACAAGAGTAAGGTTAGATTGTTTTACTACTCTTGTTGGGTTACAATATTGTATCTAGTAATAATGTATGCAGCGGCGTGCCGGTAGGGTTAGAGAAGGGGTACATTTGTTCTTGTAATTAGAAGTCAGTGTTGTAGTCGAGTCCGCACCTCCCGAGTCCGAGTCCGAGTCGAGTCCGAGTCCAGTTTTTATATAAAAAAAAGAAAAAAATCGGAAAAAGGGAAAAAATCGGAAAAAAGGGGAAAAAAGGGAAAAGATCGCAACAGTGCATCGTAGACAGTGAAACATCGCTATACACTTTCGAAGTGACGTCATAGATCAGGTCACGTGTATTTAACACATAACAAGGGCAGAAGCAAAGCACCCTTGACATTTACATATGAATGACCACATGTTCTGATAGAAAGCACTGTTTATGTAGTGCACGTACACGTGCGTGCTGCGTGCGTGCGTGCGCACGTACACGCATGCGTGCGTGCGTGCGCGAGCAGTGAGAGGGTGCGAGCTTCCCTGACTGAGCCGAGCTGGCTCCGCGCTGTGTATCCTTGCGTCAGGAATCGGCAGCAATCGGCAGCAATCGGCGTGATCATCGTCCTGCA